AACTATGTAACTATGAACTAATGTACACTGCCAAGGACTCTTACCCTACTTTCTATAAGAAATGGGCATGTTGGTTGGCCTTCCGGGACTCTGATACCTATAAATCTCACTTACTTGCCCCCGAGAATTGACCTCAGGTAGATAACTGGAAAAAGGTCAACCCTCGTGGATCTATGCTGACGGCTTCTGGTGAGGAAATATCTCTGTTGGTGGTCATTGCCCGATACACCTGACTGGCAATGTACATGAGTTAGCACTAAGCACATATTGTAAATTGTGAATTACCAAAGAACAAAAGTACCATACTACCTCCTGCAATTGTTATACCTACTCGTTTTACCCTCTCCTTTTTGTGTATCGCTGTCTTCCCCCTTGTTAGTGTTCGTCTCTTACATGGGACTTTGATTCAATAATTCTATTCTGTAACGCCTGCACTGACAAAACGTGCCATGTCATTGTATTGTGTTTCATGTATAACACTTGTAAAATCCAATAAAACAAAATAATTAATAAAAAAATACACAGTTGAAATACATATCTGTGAACTGATTTACCTTCCAAAAAATGGCTAATCAGGCATTCTTGTGACTCACTGACAGACAATACAGCCAGATCCTAGATTTCTCTGGACACTGTACTTAATAGCCTCAACTGGGTCCAGGTGCAGTCTGGGATTGGAAAATGTAGGATAAGGTCATTTATATGCTCGCCCCTTCTGTAAGCATGTTTTGGGGGGACACCGCCAGCAATATGCATAGCAATAGAGGCCTGAATGGGTCAAAGTGCTGCCCCTTCTCTTACCTAAGAGAGCTGTGCAGGGTGCTGCCCCTTCTCTTACCTAAGAGAGCTGTGCAGGGGTTTACAGAAGGCTGTTATCAACACAAATTCTTGTACTAGGTTAAAAATGTATTTATTGATTACACTGGGGAACAAAGTTTTGTTATTATTTAATTTGAGTGTGCTGAATTCAAATCTGAAGTTCATTTTTCTCTGTAAGCTCCAGAGTTTTTGCAATTCGACATTTTCATTTTTTGCAAAATTTCAACACCTCATGATTTCACAGTCTTAAAATTAGGCGTAAACAACAATCTTGGCAAATATATTCTTTATGTATTCACAAAAAAACATGTAGATGCATTACAATATGCATTACATTTTGAAAAAAATAACTTTTTATTTTGGAGTAAAATATGTATCGCCACTTGACGCCACTTATCAAATGTGAAACATTTATCCATTATAGTTAAATATGAGTATGCGCTTATGATTTTTACGTTAAATTAACATATATTTCTACATAAAGATGATAGGTGATTCAGAACAACTGATAAGGATGGGTTCAAATATGTCCTATTCAGGCAAAGAGTTTGCGCTTAAACCCTGGTATGGAGATGTATTCTCTTGTCAAATTTGGTCCTACGCTTTGCAAACTCCCAAGCCTCACTATTGTTCAATAAAGCTACTTACTGTAGTGTCCAGGACCCCGGTCAGGGAGCCTGACCGAGCCTGCGTAGATGAAAGTTTATCAGGCAGGATGCATTTTCCCAGCAAACCACTATTGTTTCCTCTGGGACATGCTCTTAACTCCAGTGCTCCCTCCCTCCTCCATAGGCACACATGTTCAAGTCCTCACATTGAAATTTGCATTTGTATAAAGATGTTTTATTATAAAAAAAATAGGTGGAATGCACAGCCAGTCACTGTGTAGAGTTCATAGACTTATTTACATGACAGACATATGCAGTATCTCTAGCTATGTGAATTCATATTTTCCTAAATGGATATGCTAAGCCTTATGTGTGACTACACTCCACCAGTTTAGTCAGTTCTTACCAGAATCGATTCACAGCAAATAAGTATTAAATTGCATCCTTTTGACTGATGACATCATGCTATAAATAATACATCACAATAGGTTTAATTCACAAAGCTAAAGACCAGGATAAGGATCGTTGTTTTCACAAAATGACAATTATTTTGAGCTGGGTCCAAGAACATATGAACATTATCATCACATGGCTGAAATTAAAGATCCTTATCTTTGTGTAATGCTTTGTTAACTAAAGGCTAAGTTCACCTTTTTCCAAAAAATATGCTGTGCAGACAAGGGGTCCATGTAAATGAATATACACTGTGCAGTTTTGTAAAATGCTGCTTAATGTAGCTGGCATACCTGTAGGCCATTTAGGTTACCCCCGAAACCTGGCTGGATTATTGCCCAGTAACACAGGAGCAATCTCGTTCTTCTGATCAAATGCCACTCATACAGTGTGCTCTCTCTTCCCCTATTCTAGCAACACTAAGCTCAGGCAACTTCTGCTACAGGACAGAGTGCAATGTGCATGTGCAGCATTTGAACACAGAGATGCAAGCACTCTTGTGTTGTTGGGAGCCTTCGGCCAGCAGATTTTGTGTCCTGCCAATTCTTCAGAATGGGGCAATGCAAAAAAAGGAAGGGGGTTTTCAGCTAGGATTCAGGGGTGACTTTGGCCTTCAGTTATGCCAGCTGGATGATTGGGCCAAGCTGGACCAATGTAAGTATGCAGAATACTTCATACCTGGAATTCAGCCATAATCCGTTTGGGTATCAGCACTGTTAGAGCCCTTTTACATGGGCATTCCAATCAGGTTCATCTGTCTGTTTTTCCAGTGGATCTGATCCGAATCCCAGTGTTAGTCAAATGGGCTGCTACATCTAAACGAATGTGTGTCCATTTACATCCGATTACCCTTGACTCTGGCCAGGTCCACAAAACCAAATGGTGTTCCTTTTTGGCGGACCTGATTGTGAAATGACCAATAGAGTGGCTGGAAGACGAGCAGGTTGGGCAAGGTAGGCTTTTATGGGAAAAATTAAGTTTGGTTATCATTGGAGCTTTATATATCTTTTGAAAATGCAATGTTCTCTAAGGGCAACATCTGCATATGCTCATTTGGAATCGTTCATGTTTGTGACGGGTTTATTTTAATTTTCACTGTGCCGTAGGTGAAATTGATATATTTTCATTTTCCTCTGGCAGAATCACATTTTTTTCAGGTTTTATTTTTATCATAGTCCTGCTATACTTAGTACAACAAATTGGAGGAAATCTCTCCAATGGAGAATATCACCAATTTCCTTCATAGCACGTTCCAATCCCCCCATTGTCTTGCTAAAGTGGGGGAATGTCCTAACCCTTCTTCATTCTAGTTAGGCAGAGGTACTTAGTTCATAATTTTGGGTGAAATTCTAATATTTAAGAAAATATGACAATTCATGTATATTTATTTCAACTCTGCATTTAACTGGTTGCCTGGAAGTCAGATGTAAGTACAAAAAGCCAGAAATAGCATCTACAGCCACAGAATTATGTCTGATGAGTTCTACGACCTTGCCTTGTTTCTCTTTGTTGGTTATACCACTTCCTCCCAGTACATCCTTCTGGGCATTTATATAATGTTTAGCTTTGAGATGTAGTAGCTTTCAAACCAAGTTAGGATCATAAACAACTTTGTGGCTAAAGAACGCCAAGTGGTAATCTATATAAAACATAGTACTTTCCATATTTAGGACAAATAAAGCTGTGAGCAAAAAATATGAATAAAATATGAATCCTTCAGCTTCTCTGTCCCCAGCCTTGGTGTGCCTTGTGTGTCATGCAATGCAAAAAAAATGTGTTGGTGTGATAATAGGGCCATCCAGTCAAGTGGTGTATTAAAAGAGACAGCACAAGACAGTTGGACAAGGGGAGGGGGGGGGGTTATAAATCTGGCTATGCACAGTGGATACATTTAGGTCTTATTCACACCAGAGTATTGCGCTATCTTGCAGTAAAAATATGGGAATTACCACAACATGCAAGCAAGCATCTTGCACGTGTTGGTGAGTTGAGATGCCTTATATTGTAAATGCCACCCTAATGCACCTCCATGATGCACTTATGCTGCAATACACCACAGCATACTCTTAGGCACATTTCCTTTAATTACCTCTCTCAACTGCAATATTCTGTGTGAATCACTATCCTTCTCCTGGATTCTGTTTACATCGCCATTTGCTATAGAATATAATTTGCTGCAATGCATCACTACTATAGTAATCTGTTGCTGGTTAATTGCAGCCAGAAATAGAGCACTGTTCGAAGTGATCTGTTGCCGCAGAGCAGCATGGGATAAAAGATGAATTAGGTCTCCACAGAGCAGATCCAGCATCACCCATATAAACAATTACATTTAATAAATTACATTTTTTTTTTTTTAAGTCCCATTTTCCCTTCAATCCCCTGCAATTCGGATGACATTGGCTTTTACTGTGTAAGCGTCACTTGCATAAGTGAGCACAACATCATTCAGAATTTTAATGATTGCAAATCTGTAAAAATGTCACCATTGTGCTAATTTCTCTCTGCAAAATCCCAACTTTATTTTATGCTAATGTTTCATACAAATGGATTATATTTTCCTGGGTGTGCCAAAATAAATGTACAAACGTTAGTTTTACCACATGTTACTGTGGACATGTTGGGGGCTGCACTTGAGGCCCTTTTTATTTATTCAGATGATAAGGGTCACCAGAAGCCACTTCCTTCACAGCAAAGTAGGTTTGAAGCTGACTACACATGGTGCAGGCATCCGGTAAAAAAAAAGTGTTGTAAGTCTCTTTCCTGCTAAATTGTATAATCTTTATTCTGTAGCTGTATTCTAATAAATGGTGATTGATTTTCCCCATCAGAAAAGAAAACAGCAGAACAATCAACAGCATTTTCATTTATGGTTGTAAATACTGGGGGCTGCTATATGCATTTTTATGACTCAGCACTTTTGTAATAATAAAAGCATTGTAAGTCATATCATTATTTGACATGGCCCTACGTATTTTTTTCTGTGGAAGCCCTGAATCAATTAATGGAAAAGCAATGGGAGTATATTATTGATCCATACTGACTGAGACTATGGGGTTATCATTATATAAACTAATATGGTTTCATTAATCAGTATCTCACACCATCTTTTCCTTACAGGTCTTCAAAAACATCAACAACGAAGATACATCTCATGGGCAAGGAAGCCGTAGGCTCATCAGTTTTACTCTATCAGGTAAATGTTAACTATTTAATGCAATGTTTTATTTATTGTGAAAACTAGCTAGCTTGGAACCTATGGTGTCAGATCAAGCAACCTATGCCACTAAGTGCTCTTATGAAGAGAAAAAAAATTTCTCCCGTTTTGCTTTACTGTGCTAAAGTGTATTGTTTTGCTATTTATATTGTGCATTTAAACAAAACCAAATTCAAGTTAATTGAAAAAAGACAATCAAGTTCATCTAATGGAAATATAAATTAATTAATTGAAAACCTGAATTTACAGAACCATAAACCCACAGTTGACTTTGAGACCTAGAGGAACGCAGAAAATGTTAAACTTTTTTTTCCCCTCCAGATGCAAATAAGTGCCCCTTTGCCATTTGCAATTACCTTAAACTGAACAACTTTGCACCTAGTTACATATATGGATCTTTTATGTATTTATACAAGGTGATCATACCCCCTTTAAATGCCACTTCTCTATGGAGAATAAATTCAGTTTAGCTAATCTTTCCCCATCGCTGAGGTAATGTGTGCCTCTTACCAGTTTACTTGCCTTTCTATGCACTGTCTCCAGTCCTGCAGCATTCTTTTTGTGAACTTGTGCCTAAAACTGAACTGCATATTCAAAATGATGTCTTACTAATGATTTGTACATGGGCAATTTTAGTATTTTGCTTGCTCTAGAATCTGTAGTTTGGCATTGCATGCTGTTATTAACTCTATGATGTCCTAGAACACCCAGGTCCCTCTCCATCATTGACTCACTCAGATGTAACCTCACTTGACTGTATGATACATGAATGTTTTTAGCCCCTAAGTGCATGACTTTCCTTTTGATCATTAAACTTTATTTGCCATATGTTGCCCAATCAAACAGTACCTAGGTCAGCTTGTAAGTTAGAGGCATTTTGACTATATTCTACAACATAGCTTGGTGTCATCTGCAACACAGAAATGGTACTATTAATCCAAAAATCTTTATTATTTATAAATATGTTAAACAGTTAGGGTCCCAACCCTGAACCTTGGGGAACAACAATAGCAACCTCAGGCCCTTCAGAGTATGAATCATTAATCACTACTCTCTGTATAAGGGTCTTTAAGCCAGTGTTTTATCCATTTACAGACTGGATTTTCTAAGCGTACAGACCTTAATTTACACATTCATCTTTTGTGAGGAACTGTGTCAGGCGCTTGAGCAAAGTCCAAGTATACTATATTCACATCCACCTATACATAGCCACACATGCAACCACTTGAATGTGACTAACTACTACTAGCAAAGGAAAACATTTTCCTGTATATACTTTAAAATGGAACTAAAGTTTCTTAAAATGAAAAATCACCAGGAGGTAGAGGTTTTTTTATCAGGAGAGATATGCAGTCTCTTTTGCCAGTATAACCTTTTCCCCAACCTCTGGTGATTTTATTGTGTTCTGTGTACACTGTAGGGCACGTGCACCATGCAGTGTACATTCTGGCTCTGTTCTATGCATGTCAAGTATAGAGCCAGGTGCCTGCGCAGAAGTTACATCATTAGTGGCTGTGCAATGGCTGAAGAGAATCAGTGCAGGACCCTGAAGAAGTGGTGGAGATGGACGCAACAGGGGATGTGACAGAATCTTGAACCCATGGTCACTGGAGAACAGCACAGCAGGAGGTATATGTGCCATAATCCACAAGTATTTTCTTTGCATACTTAGACATTATGGCCAAAGCTCAGCCCCCACCAGAGAGTTTTCTTCAGCTTTAGGAATAAAAACTCTTTGAAAAAGATCAGTTGTGTTTTTCAAGTAGTGCTTACAAGTCATGTTTTGACATATTTCCAGGTTAGAAGTATGTTTTGTTAATGATATTCAAGGCAAAGCACAATCATTTTGCCTATGAATCTGTGAAAAAACTAGAAAGCCTGTTCAAAAATATTCATAGACAAATTTATAACTGTCCTTTTATGATACTTGGAGGCATGATTTGAGGACTGTCAGCACTGTCTTTTTGCAAATTGTTTTAAATGTTTGATAGTTAGATGTTGGTGGTGTCTGAAGTTTTAGCCTTACTTAAATAAATCTTTTTCTACCAATTTTGAAAAAATTGTCTGTCCCGATCTGTAATTAACCCTTGGACCTCCCATACTAGATGGTGGGTCCGATCCTGTTTCTTTCCATGTTGTATGCCGGTTTTTGATCTGGTTAGACGGACAACTTCCAAAGGGCAATATATCCAGAGGCGGATCTCCAGGAGTAAAACAAACACAACTCTCACTATATGATTTGAGGACTGCCATTCAAGTCCTAGCTTGATGATTTTCTGTTAATTTTTAGTATTTTTGTTTTGTTTTGTTTTTTAGATTTCCAAGCTTTGGGGTTAAAGAAAGGAATGTTCTTCAATCCAGACCCATACCTAAAAATTTCTATCCAGCCTGGTAAACACAGCATCTTTCCAGCACTCCCGCACCATGGCCAAGAAAAAAGGTCAAAAATTATATGCAACACCGTCAATCCTGTTTGGAAAAGAGAAGTAAGTCTTAGTACACATTATCATTACTGTTAAGGTTAAATGTTTACTCGAAACTAAGCAAAGTAACAGGTTCACTTTCTAGGGGACACTTTAAGCAGTTTGTATTGATCTTCCCCTATTAATCTGCTATCCCAATCTGCCACCAGAGCCCAGAGTTAAACTTAGTACTTCTAGAAAAGATGGAATACTCCGGGCCTGATTTTCCATTAGGCACAAGCCTTTACACACCACCGCAGGAAGGGAGGCTAAAATAATCAGTTATCAAAATTAGAACTAAGGTGTGGTCTGCTGTAGAAACACTGACAGTGCTCCTAAAGCACCACTCCTGCAAAACAGACCCCTGCTGCCTGCAGTCCTACCTTGCCCACCTCCCACTTGCTAATGTTCTGCTTACCAGGAGCTGCTGCACACACATCGAGCATGTGCTATGCAGCCAGCTTGAATGGAAGGTACTACAGTGGAGCAGTATGGTTCTGTCAGATGAGTCTGGTCCATGGGTGTCTGTAGTAAGCTGTAGTAAGCCACTCTCAAGAGGCCACTGATTTTGGCCACTGATTTACCCGCTTAGAATTACCCTCAAGCACTGCTGTTTGGAGCAGGATGCATCCGTGAAAAGTGTCGGTTGCTGTCGGTGAAGGTTGGTAGGCAGGGCCGATGAAAGCAGATGTGCACCGTTAAGAGAACATGTACTGTGAGCTGTGCCTGGGAACCTAGCAGGGACAAATGTATACTTATACAGCAACCTCGTGCCACTCCCCGCCTCCCTCGTTAACAACTGGTTTGGAAGCCATTGCACCACAGGGACAGAACCCTTACCAAAGTGAAACACAAGCAGAAACATGTCCACTGAAACATGATTATTATTATAGTGATGCAACTAGAAACATGTTTGCAGAGACACAATGAACATAATGATGCAAGCAGAAACATGTGCTAACAAACACGATATATACTGTAGTAACAAAATGAGAATGGTATCCACATCGATACAATCAGTAGAATAATGACAGAGGTATGAAGTGTAGAGACAGAGTCAAAAGCAGATGTAAAGAAGTAGACAGTGTGTTGCTGCAAAACCTTTAAGTAATACACACATACACAACAACTACCCTCCTCGCTGCACCCCTCGAAATAGCACTTCTCTGTACCCTGCTCCACAACTCATCTCTGCACCCTCTTTCACAGCTCACCTCTGCCCCACCACACTCCTCTTACACATACTGTATACTTAAAAGAAAAGAAGTCATGAAGCCCGAGCATATTTTTTTTTGGAGGGGGGGGGGGGGGTTAACAGCACATCAGAGCAGCAGTTGGGGGAAGAGGAAGCCAGGTAATGTAAGTGAAGACTGCCTACAGTACATCTTTAAAGTAAACCTTTCACTTTACCTTTATGGTAATAGTATAGTTTCACTTTAAAGTCACAAAGTCACAAGCTTAATCTACAGTTGGGAAGTCCGGTGTGCCTAAAAAAATTGTTAGATCTATTTCTTGAGCTTTTAGCTTTCCATTTTCTTTTCACCTTTGCTTCTGTGATGTTTGCTCTCTTACCTGATACTGGGTTGAATAAAAGCATTGTTTTGTATTTCTGCTTAAGTAGTATTTAAGCATCCTCAACAGCTTCAGAGCCAAAGGTTACTTTACCTTAATCCGCATGATCAGACTGTTGCCACTAGACGGCAGGTCCGCTGTGTTTCTTATAAAGCTTTCAAAAGTTTAACAACTAGTTGTTGAGAAAAAAAAAAGGTTTCCACCAGGTAAACTGTATAAATGGCCAAAGATTTTAGTAAATGTATTGCAGGTTTATGTTTACCTCTGTACTGAAGAAACTGACCTTCATTTTACCATGTCCTTTCTCTGACAGTCAGCCTTCATTGCCAACAACAGATGTAATCTCAGTTTTGTAATGAGAAAAGCTGCAGTGTCTGCATACCTAAAGACATGGGTGAACCTTACAGAGTATCTAATTGAGCCCTTGTCTGTAGTAGACATGTGCGATTCGTTTCGTTACGAATCGAAATTCGTACGAATTTTCCTGAAATTCGTAAAATCGGAAGCATTCGAAATCCGAATTGCAATTTCCGAATTATATCCGAAATACAAAATTCCGTTAACGAATTTTGGATCCGAATTTCTTTGAAACAGGAACTAATATTACCCCTGTAAATGAGGTTGAACAACATGACAAGATTTTTTTTTAAATCCGAAATACGGATCCGCTGCTGCTGAGGTTTTTTCTTCTGCTACTGAGAGTTGCATTACAATACAGGCAGGAAATACGAAATTCCGTTGACGGAATTTCGTTCCGTTATGAACATTCGTTATATTGAAGTTAAAAAGCAAAGTACATTTATATTGGAGTTGATGGTAGTTTTTTTTTTATACGAAATACGAAATTCGGATCCGGAATCCGTTAACGGAATTCGTATTTCGGATAAATAAACAACTACCACATCGACTCCAATATTAACAAAGGTATTTTTGCTTTTTAACTTCATCATAACGAATGTTCGTACAGTTACGAAAATGTGCCGAAACTAACGAAAATTCGTATTTCGTACGAATCCGAATTGAGTTTCGGACACGAATTACGAAATACGAAATAACGGATATTCCGAAACGGAACGATTTTTTTGACGGCGCACAAGTCTAGTCTGTAGAAGGTTAAGATTTGCATACAAGTGTGTCCCTGGTTTCAATGTCTAGGCGGCAAGCTAGGTGTCTGTCGAGTGTGGTAACATTTTTAAAGCTTTACATTAAACAATATATCTGTGTGGGTTCTGTTCAGTGCATCATCCTTGCATTGTCATCTCATAGGTGTCTTCTGCTTTATTTATTAATACAAAACTCCCCTTGTGCTGAGAAGGAAACAAAATGGTCAACTTCAGGCTAACTACATAGATTGCAAGGATTACAGGGTGCACTCATTAAACTGGTACCTCAGAATATACAATTCTTCTATTTACAATTATGTGTTAAAAAAGAACTATAACCAAACCTTTTTTGAGGGGCTTTAGTGCTCTTTTGGGTCACATGAGTGCATTTACTAATATACTCCTGTAACTCCTGCCCGCTATATGGTGAGCCAGCTGTGCCCGCCATCCCCTGTCTGTTTCTCCAAGGAAGAAACAGATGAGGGAGGGGTCAATCTCTGTGGGGAGCAGTATCGGTGGGGACAGTCACCACTTTCTGCAGGGAATGCGTTTGCTCTCTTGATTTGTTCAATATATCATTGTAAGCAGCTTATAATATCTGTTCAAAAAAATCCTATTGATTCTGTCAGAAATCCTGTGCCCTGTGCACTCTGCAGTCTTTTCTCAAACAATTATCATCCATGATCAGCTCACTTCTGTGACCAAAACAAAAAAAACTCCCCCTATGTTAAGTAGACGAGAAGAGGGAGAGGTGGCCTGTAGCCCTTAACACTTCCTGTCTGGGTCACAATGTTGCTCCTTCATAATTACAGTGAAGTAACTGAGCATTGTCACCTTAGAACAGGTAGTGTGTTACTGGCAGGACGAACAGGTTAAAATAAAGAAAACTAATGCAGTAACCAGAGCTAAGGACTGTAAGCTATGTTATATTTCTATTCTTGGGTTTAAGTTTACAAATTTAAAACTGATCATTTATATCTTTTTAATATTGAAATATTTTATTATAGAAATACATATTTAGTGCACGCCCATGACCGTATTTTTATATGTAAAAAGAGAGCACAGCTGTAGATTTTTCCTCTCAGACTGTCTATTATTAATTAAAGCACTGTATGGAGCTGTCCAGTTCAGTGAGTGGGCCACACTCTTATCCCCATTCAGTATGTAAATTGAGCTTAAAATAATTAGCTCTGTAAGCAACAGTTTTTTTCAGCAAAGCAGTTAAGATTAAATTGATAAACATGTGAAAACCTGGTATTCTATAATAATTTACCTGAAATAAATATTTTCACAATCTACATTTTTACTCCTGAGCACAAATAGAGAAATAATATAGAAAATACTCTACATTCTCTGCAAGGACCACTTGAAAAATCAAGCTAAAGTGTTGTGGAAGATTTTTTGAGTGGCAGTCTATTGAGGATGGTCAGATCCAATAGTTGCCTACAAGCTCTACCCAACTTCACCTAGATGTAGGCTGGCTAGCAAACAGCAATGAAAAATCTAACTGTCCTCTCCTGCACCCCTTTAGCTACTGGGACCTGCTTCAGTCTTCTTGCAAAACAAGTGCAATTCATTATTTATGTTTGTCTTTTACTGTACATTGTGTTGAATAAATGCAGCTCTGCAAATTTTAGGATAGAGGCTGGCACTGAAAATGGATTTGGGGATCTTATCAAACAAGTCACTTTATATTACTTAATTTATTCATATGTAATAATTTTCTTAAAAATGCCAGAGTAAGTGCATATTAATTAGTCTATGGGACCATTTTCTGCTTGTCGGCATAGACTACTACATGCTTTTAGGGGATAATTAAAAGCACAACTGATAAATATTTTAGTGTGCTGGGTGCAGAGAGGATAATTGCAATGGACAAGTAAATGTTTTGTGTAATATCCCAAGCAAGCTTGGCATTTTCTGAATTTTTGCTGATATGTTTAAACATCTCATGTAAACATTTATATTATTATCACAAAGCAGTCAAATGTATTTTATAAAAATGTATCAGGCATTGTATGAAGGGAATTTAGAGCCAGCAGCATAGATGTGGTCATTATAGATAAGGCTGGACATAAAGAAAGACTGCAAGAGCAGTGTACAGGTGAATGATTTAGGTCCTGGAAAACCCTCAGTGTGGTAAGCTGTAGAACAGATGATTGTGGGCTATCAAGCTACAGTGCTCTCATGAGATTAAAGTGTATGTAAACTCTAGCAATAAACTTTTATTATTTGCTCCTACTTGGTCTATTTAAGTGGATCTTGCCCTAGTAAGGTCCACTCATTAGACCAAGGCCCCCCTCCTCCTTTTTCTAAAGTCTGTATAATAGTAGTGTAAAGATGTAGCTTCAGTGGGGAAAAAGTTACAATATATACAGTACTTATCTCACCCCAGGTTCTGGCTTTCCGCGGGGGTGATATCACAATCCTTATGGCAAGATCCTGAAATTCTGAGGATCCCTAATCTTGATAAAATAAACTTCTGATCACAATTTTTTAATACTCCTCCATTTAAAATGTATTTAGTTGCAAGGGATTTGTGGGTTTCCTTGCATGAACTGATTGTTTTCAAAACAGGGCTTTGACTAAGCCAGTCCTTAACTCTTCATTACATATTGTAAGCCATTCCTTGGTGGATTTGCTGGTGTGCTGCAGATAATTATTTTGTTCAAAGATCCATTTCCGGTTCAACTTCAACTTTTCAGTTGGCCACAAACTCTTAACAATCATACTTTGAAATGTTGCAGAATTCATGGTTGACTCGATGACTGCAAGCCATCCAGTCCTTAAAGCAGCAAACCAACCCCAAACCGCAATATTTTCACCACAATGCTACACAAATGAGGTTCTGAAATGCTGTCTTCAGTTTGCACAAAACATGTCTACCATTACTGTGCCCAAAAACTCTATCTTTGTTCATCATTCCACCGCACATAAGATTATGCCTGTATGTTCAGTGGCAAACTGTAGTCATGCTGATGTTCTTTTTGGACAGCAAAGCCTTTTTACTGGCACATTACCCATGCAGGGTAAATTGGTGCATTTTCTCTCTAATAGAAGATTCATGGACACTTAAATTTTGTGGTTCTTGGAGACTTCTTTTAAAATCAGTCAGCCTCCAGAGCCAAAGCCTTTTTAATTTAGCAGTAACATAAACAGTACTTAGCAGAAGTTTAGCAAGCTACTGATAAGCAGCTGTTAAATTGCTGGGTAATAAAAGAGCCTTAAAAGGCCCTAAAGCCAGTTGTAAATAGTTTAGCAGTCAGTTACCTGAATCCACATTCCTGTGTGAGGTAACTGCCAGCTTCCAAAATGTAGTCATATTCCATAAATCTTGACTTGATACAATTACAGTCATAACAAGTGTTTACACAAGAGAAGTACAATCAGTGTGATACCAAGCATGACTAGGCTATCGTGTACCAGAGACTAATTGGTCACATTAAATGTCCTAAGAGATCTATACATCCAATGTATGTTTAGTCTAAATCAAATTATTATTTTGTGCTTTAATATGTTGCACGTTGGACTGTAAAACTAATTGTTGGGAAGTATTAATATGATTTAGGAAGTGACATTAAATGAGTGCCCACTGAAATATCATAAACACTTCAGCATTCCTACCTCCCACCCTTCAGTTCTCTTGATTGGATGAGGATTGGCAGTGATGCCCTCTAGGGTCTAGAAGATCGACAAACACTAGCTGCAATTGACCATTAACAGCTCTCAATTTCCATAGAAATTAATGAACGAATGCTCATTCATACAAAGAGTAATTTCTGGGGCCAAAATTGGACTTAATCTATTGGAATCATTGACCTTGTGAACTTGCCAAGTACTTTTCATTTTTAATCCCATTTAATTTGCTGTTGCTTTTTCTGTAAATATTTTTTGCACCATTTACTTTTCATGAAAACAATATTTAAAAAATCGTTAATTTTTATTTCTAAATGCTCTAAACAAGAACTTAAAAACTCCTTGCCTCTTTAAATAACGTTACCATATTTTAAACTCTTACTGTGCGCGTAGCAGTGAGTGTCACAGACATTTCCCCAAGAAAGGTCAGAATTGTGTGTTTCTGTTAAAGCATGTGATGGCAGCTATTGTTTGTGTGTGTAAAAGGTTAACTGCGAAGTTAACCGACCCCAATGATAATAACTCTCAGTCTGCTGGAGCTTAGATTGTGGTCTCGCAAGCCGGAAAATCTGTGTGCAGGTTGTGGCTGAGAGTGCCATTGTCTCACACACACACGAACACACGCACACACATACTGTTGTTTAATTGCCAGCATTCATAAACATTTTGTGAAAATCAAATGGTTACTTAGTAATGTAAGAATTACAACATCCCATGGCTTTGTCCACTTCACACTGTAAAAACCCACATCACCATTTTAATTATTTATATGATTGTTGGCCGTCCTCAATGGTGTTTGTACCAGATCTCTCGCATATGCTACATCTTTGCATTTGTCATCTGTGCAAAAAAATTATAATAATGGACTTTTAACTGAGGTCTCAGTTTACCTACAAGTGCTCCCTGGAAGGCACTGGTGATGTATCTATCCCAGGGGACTGCTGGGAGGCGCTGGTTTTGTCACCAGTGCTTTGAAAAAGGCAGAAGTTTAAAAAAAATTGATTTTTTTTTTTGTACTACTATTTTACAGCAATTTAGAAAAGAGGAGGAGGGCCCTGAGGTAATGGGCAGACCTTGTTTTCTTTTGCAAGGGTCCCTTAAAGTATACCATTAAAGTGTTTGGTTAAACACAAAAACATCTGTTGATCCTGCAGAAATCTTGCAAGGGATAACTCACAAGAGGAGAGGTGTAGTCCTAAAACACTTGTCCTGGAATAACAATTAGACATGTGCTCCGGCAAAAAATTAGTTTAGTTTAGATTCGGATTTTACAATTAGACATGTGCTCCGGCAAAAAATTAGTTTAGTTTAGTTTAGATTCGGATTTTACTTTATTTCGGGATTCGGGTCCGAAAGTCAATTCGTTTCGGGATACGAATTCGGACAAAATTAAATTTGTTAGTGGTAGTCTGTACAAATTTTTGGTTTTGTTTTCGCTTCTTTTGCGTTTTGTTCATTTCGTTGCAGCAGGGTGACAAAAAAAAATTTCTCACTTTACTGCAACCGAAAGTTCGTCCACAAACAAAAATTTGTATAGACTAAAGCTAACGAATTTCGTCCTGAAATTCGTCGTTTTCGGAAATTCGGATTCGCTTTCATTCATCATTTCTGTTATTCGGAAATTCGGATACATCCGAATCTCTGCATAAGGAAAATTTGTCCAAAAAACAAATTTGTCGGAAACAAATCGCACATGTCTAATAGCAATATTGCTCCTCCGTAGCTACATGAGTAGGTTCTGTCACCTTAAGACAGGAACTATGTTACTGTTAAGATCACCAAATGAAAATAGAAAAAAGCCGGAGAAAAAAAAAAACAACTAATGCAGCCACCCCAACTAAGGACTGGTAAGCTGCAATATATCATAAATTGTTGTTCTCGGATTTCGATACGCTTTAAGCTGCAGGCAGCCAGAGCCTTTCATTTTGAACCAGCCCTCTTTTCATACAAGATACTGGAGACTGCACTGTTTCTTACGATCTTGTACTGTACAGGATGTTCAGGGAAGCCAAGCTAAGAGACTTGGAAGCAGCTGTTCAGAAACATGATGATTGTAAGTGTTTTGGAAAAAATGTAAAGCAATACTTTGCTGGGCTATATATATTTGTCTGATCTTGATTCATTATAGAAAAAAAGCTTAAGCTTGAGAGTTTAATACTACTTTAATCTGGACTTGGTCATGTTAATCTGTTTTTTCTAAAAATAATTTGTCAGTAGTAAACTTTTACACAAACATAAAATTTTGAATTTTAGTAATACATTAATGCATAATGTTTCTGCAGTTGTTTAGCTTTGTATCTCTTCCGACTGATGTCTTGGAAATTGAAGTGAAGGATAAGTTTGCAAAAAGTCGACCAATTATCAAACGATTTTTGGGCAAGCTATCCATGCCAGTTCAGCGACTCTTGGAAAGACATGCAATTGGGTGAGTATTACATATACATGAATATATATTGTAGCCTTGATTACCACAATTATTGCCTGTAAATATTCTAGTGTTGTTATCTCAGAAATCAAAATTCAGCATCTGACTATACACAAGGGACCTGTGCTGCTTTTGTAATCTGTTTGCAAGCATAGCTACTACTTTTGTTTGATCAGAACAATTTACCAGCATTCCCATTTGTACCAACCAAGGTCCTGGTAACATTACATGCATGCATGTCTGGGCTGCTGGAGAAGAATAAAACTGTCAGTTAACAAAGCCCTTAGCTTCCTTTTATTTATTCCTGAAAGCAGCATTGTAATATGACAGTTTTATGAGTGTCTGTTATGAGCACTCAGCTCAGGAAGAATATAAGACAGCTTCTATGGGGGAAGCCTTGCAACCAGATAATCATCATGACACTTCTGCTCTGACGGGAAGAGAATATAAGTAAATGATCAAAATTCTAGTAACTTATAAAGGGTAAGGGTTTTCTATTTTTCTAGTTCAAGTGTAGAGATTCATATTATTAAAGACACAGGTTGTTGACTAGTTCTCTTTAACCAGCCTCGCAAGGCTTTTTCTTTTCACCCCTTAGAGTTACCACAAAGGTTTCATTCCCTATAAGGCATTTATGTAGGAGCTCAAGCCACACTAATACAATGTACTAGTGTCTTCTATATTGTATCTCCCATATTTTCAACAGTGCTGGCAGACTTCCTGCCATGGTCATTCAGCAGAATCCTGACTGTGGTACAATACACACTGCCTGGCCAAAAAAAGGTCACACACTCTAATAGCTTTGATTACAGCACGCATTCACCATGGCATCATTTCAATAAGCTTATGCAATGTCACAACATTTATTTCCATCCAGAGTTGCATTTTTTTTACCAAGATCTTGTACTGATGATGGGAGAGTCGGAGCACTGCATTAAGATTCTCAATGTGGTTAAGGTCTGGACACTGTACCGTGGTTGCCAAGCCATGTGTAAAAATTATTTCTCATGCTCCCTGAACCACTCTTTCACAATTTGAGCATGGTGAATCCTGGCATGGTCATTTTGGAATATGCACGTGCCATTAGGGTCATTCAGTATTATCGGGCTCTTACTTATTTGCTTAGCTAAATCCAGGTGGCGACCATTTTTTGGCCAGGCACTTTAGCCCAGAAGCCCAGGCAGTGAGCCATGGTAGCTTTTTTACACTTTATTTCCACAATTGACCACCTTTTCTTCCAAAATAGCAAGTCGTGAAGGTCCCTGTCCACCAGGACCTTTTACTTAGCAAAGCAGACTCTGTGTAGCTGCCAAACTATCTGCTGACAAGCCTGAAGTATTCATGTCACAACTCAATCCCTTATACAGGGGGTATGTTTTGGACCCCCAAAATGCATTGGCTTACTCTACTTGATTGTCCCCTGAGCCTAATGGAATAAAGTTGTATCTGGATTATTTTAATTTGCGTGGGGCTTCAATCCCTTTATCTACTGTGTTCACTGTTGAGCCAAGGATACTGTGGAGATTCTTTGCATTGCAGAAGCTGCCTAACTGTCTAGCTGTCAGGCAGATCACACATATTCATATCCCTTAACTACTGTTGGATAAGAAACACCAAGATAATAACCACACAGATCCAGAGCTGTCTTTCCACACTTCCAAATAGCAATGAAACCTCAGTAGATGTTCAAACGCTTTCTTCATCTGTTACTTGTTTTAAAAAAATTGAAAAGAAAAATGTTCTGACTGGACTTATCACAGACAGAATTTTACCTGAAATGTAGCTCTTTCCCTATTTATTATTGTTATCATTATTATTATTATTTAAAACAAAGGTTTTGCTTCAATAAATCTGTTCTTGCCTTTACCTTCTAGGGATCGTGTTGTTAGCTACACCTTAGGACGCCGGCTGCCAACAGATCATGTCAGTGGACAGCTGCAGTTTCGATTTTCAATAACATCTTCTATACATCCTGGTACAGTGTCTCTTAATTTTAATTAAAGAATCATTTTGTGCAAATATATAATCTACTCAATAATTAAAGGGAAACATGTCTGCTTATAAAATAAATAAAACTATCTATCTATCTATCTATCTATCTATCTATCTATCTATCTATCTATCTCTTCTGTGTAACTGATTTCAAACATATTCAGTCTTATTTAAAACAGCTTACATTTTTTTTATCAGTTTGCAGCAGTCAGAACAATGAAGATTGTTTCTGATTTGTTGCTATGTGTTATTGCACTTGGACTTATCATGTGCCTGATTGTGTTATTTATTGCATATGTAATAATACTTAGTAAAGTAAAGTCATTCTGTGGTACATGTGACATACAGTAATTTAAAAAAAGTAAAGCTAAATTTTGGATTTAGGCATGTTAAGCTGACTGCTTTTCTAGGTTACAGACTTCTTCCAGTGACTGCATTCATTTTCAGCTTCCTTGGAAAGCATGCCAGTAGTCTAAAATCATAATAAATAAAGAGAAATTGTGACCAGAGCTTGCATAGCAAGGAGAGTGCAGAGAGCAGGAAAGGGTATGACTACATAACAAAATTGCTCTGGTCACAGTATCCATTATGGGGCACTCAACGATTTTTGACTACTGGGGTGCTCTCCAGAGAAACTGAAATCACACCTGAAGGTTCCTGCAACCCACAAAAGGCAAGCTTGTCATTCCTAAACCACCAAAAATGAAACTATGAGTAAAAGCAAAGATCAAATATAAGTGTAGTAAAATATAATTATTTGACATGAAGTTGACGTTTTGATGCCAAGAGGTTGACGCAGTGGGTTTTGGCACTGAAAAAACAGAGCTCCCCGTAGATTGAAGAAACTAAAACTTATACCTAACCTCAAGACCCACTCAGAACTAAACTCATTCCATGAGTGAGCCTTTAACACCTAACCTTCCACCATAATGCTTAACCCTTTCTCTAGACCTAACACTTAATAATCCTATAAGTGAGTCCTTGATACCTAATGCAGTTGTGCTCGGAAATTTGCATACACTGGCAGAAATTGTGAAATTGTGGCACTGCTATTGAAATATGACTGATCATGCCAAAAAACTGTCTTTTATTGAAGGATAGTGATCATGTGAAGCCATTTATTATCACATAGTTGTTTGGCTCCTTTTTAAATCATAATGATAACAGAAATCACCCAAATGGCCCTGATCAAAAATTTACATACCCTGGAATGTTTGGGCCTCGTTACAGACACACAATGTGACACAAACAGGTTAAAATGGCAATTAAACGTTAATTTCCCACATCTGTGGCTTTTTAAATTGCAATTAGTGTCTGTGTATAAATAGTCAATGAGTTTGTTAGCTCTCACATGGATGCACTGAGCAGGCTAGATACTGAGTCATGAGGAGAAGAAAAGCACTATCAAAAGACCTGCGTAACATTATAATGGAACTTTATAACGATGGAAAAGATCTCTTGATACCAAGCCAAGGTCAGGTAGACCAAGAAAGATTGCAGCCACCACTGCCAGTAGAATTGTTCGGGATACAAAGAAAAACCCACAGGTAACCTCAAAAGAAATACAGGCTGCTCTGGAAAAAGACAACGTGGTTGTTTCTAGGAGCACAATATGACGATACTTGAACGAAAATGAGCTGCAAGGTCAAGTTGCCAGAAAGAAGCCTACACTGCGTCAATGCCACAAAAAAAGCCTGGATACAATATGCCTGACAACACCTTGACTCGCCTCACAGCCTCTGGCGCAGTGTCATTTGCAGTGAAGAGACCAAAATAGAGCTTTATGGTCACAACCATAAGCGGTATGTTTGGAGAGGGGTCAACATGGCCTATAGCAACAAGAATACCATCCCCACTGTGAAGCATGGTGGTGGCTCACTGATGTTTTCAGTGTGTGAGCTCTAAGGGCACGGGGAATCTTGTGAAAATCGATGTCAAGATGAATGCAGCATGTTATCAGAAAATACTGGCAGACAATTTGCTTTCTTCTGCACGAAAGCTGCGAATAGGACGTTCTTGGACTTTCCAGCACGACAATGACCCTAAGCACAAGGCCAAGTTGACCCTTTCAGTGGTTACAGCAGAAAAAGGTGAAGGTTCTGGAGTGGCAATCACAGTCTCCTGACCTTAATGTCATTTTTTCAAGACGAATGGGCAGCTATACAATTTTGGGCCTCATAGACAACTATTACAAAAGACTGCACACTGTCACTGATGCTAAAGGGGGCAATACACAGTATTAAGAACTAAGGGTATGCAGACTTTTGAACAGGGGTTAATTAATTTTTTTTATTTGTTACCATGTTTTGTTTTAGGATTGTGTCATTCTGTTATGACCTACAGTTGAATATGAATCCCATAAGAAATAATAAGAAATAAAAGAAATGTGTTTTATGTGTTTACTCATGTTTTCTTTAAAAATGGTACATATATTACCAATTATCCAAGAGTATGTAAACTTTTGAGCACAACTGTATGTTAGTTTTCAGAACCAGAAAATCAGCTTGCTAGTTTTTAGTTCAGAAAGTGATGCTCTGCCTTATCCACCCCCCCCCCCCTTAACCTTCCCTTAATTAAACATGACATCCTGATTGCTCTGTGATGCCAGGGAAGATGTCCAGGTGCCAGGACCTCCTGCTTAACTTAGAGCCTAAACTCCGCCTCTAAAACATAACCCCTAAGTGAGCACTTGACACCTAGCCTTTGATTTATGGAAAGTTAATGTAAAATTTAATAGGAACAATCAGAGTTTATCACATCGGGTTATATGAATAATAAGCCTATACCACAGGCCAAAGTAGTGAAATGGACAAAGCACATTTTTGAGTACTGCAACTTTTCAACACCAACACCGGGTAACAGGTACTCTGTGTTTTAAAATGAACAGTTTCGATCATCCAGGATGCGTGGGTGCCATGATACTAATTAATCTGCTTTTCTTTATAGCTTATTCTGAAGAACCATGTGTTTTTATTCAGGTAGTATACTCAATAATGATGTGTATTAACCTATAGAAACCAATTATGGGTTTTATTATTGCTGCAATATGTTATATTGTAAAATACTTATGCTGTGATCCTAAAATATGTTTTTGTGATCCCTAATTTTTTTAACAAAATTTGTATTTGCAATTTATACTTTAGATGATGAAGAAATGTCCATCACTGCAGATCCTGACCCTGTTCCAAATGAAAGTCCACTGCGCCACCCAGTGGAAGTTCTCTCTAATGAGCCCCAGCGAAGGACATCAGTTGCCACTGAAAACCCAACATCAGAGTTGCCAAATGAATGCATTTCTAGAAGTGGCCATGATAAGCACCCAGCCATTGACAGCAGATCACTAAGTCAACATAGTTTACATAAGACACCACTCACAAGTACATGTGCTGCAGCTCTTCTAGCCAGTGCAACAGAAAAAGAAAATGACCCTTCTGAAGTAAGCGTTCCAGATCCTGAGCAGGAACCAGCATTATCTATTGAGTCTGAAACCAAAGTAGAGAGTTCTGCTGAATCCAGGACTGATAATGAAAACAGCACTGGTGTAATACATGCAGAGGAAGCTAGCTTTGCAATGGAAACAGACAAGCATGAAGAGAAACATGAAGAAGAGACCCAAGACAGCAGCCAGCATCAGGATAGTGAACCAAAGTTGAGAAATACAGTAAAGAGAAAAAACAGACCATGTTCTCTTCCTGTGTCTGAGCTGGAAACAGTTATTGCTTCAGCTTGTGGAGAACCTGAAACACCTCGTACACATTACATAAGGATTCATAACTTGTTACATAGTCTACCTTCTGCTCAGCTGGACAGAGATGGAGAAGAAGAAGAAGAAGAAGAAGAAGAAGATCAGAATAGTGCAGATATTGATGAAGAGTCAACAGTAAAGGAGGCATCAGAGAAGGACATTGTGAGCGAAACAGAAACTATGGCAGCTGATCCTTCTCTTGACATTGTAGCCGATGAAGGTGATGATCTAGAAAATAGTAGAAGTACTTTACCCCATGATATGTCTTCTGATCACCTTCCTGTTTGCAACCATCTCTGTTTAGATGAAGAACACCCTAGGACTGAAAGTGAAAGTGAATCTAGTCCAAGGGTTCATGGGGACCATGACTGTGACACTTGTGACACCTCATGCTATAGCACCTCCTGTTATAGCACTTCTTGCTACAGTACCTCTTGTTATAGTCCTTCCTGTTATGATAGTCATAACCGTTTTTCCAGTCACACACGTTTCTCTTCTGTGGACAGTGCCAGAATTTCTGAAAGTACTGTTTTCTCCTCTCAAGATGATGATGAGGAGGAAAATAGCGCATTTGAATCAATGCCTGATTCTAATCAGAGCCCAGAGCCTGACCGGGAACATGGTGATGGCTCCATTCAATGGTCTGATGATCTATCTAGTCAGAGTATTACTTCAGAGAGGACTTCTGGTGCCCCTGAATCTCCAGTTGCAGGGCCAAGCAGTAGGAGAGAAGGTTAGATTGAAGTGTCTTCAATGGAATCATCCATAAAAAGTCACATTAACAGGGTTATTCACTAAAGGGTGAAGAGTTTGGAGAAGTGAACAATTTAGGACAACATAGCTGACCTGGAAAAGTCTCCAATTTAGCTCACTTTCCAGTTGAGCTATGTTGTCCTAGATCAGGGGTGCCCATTAGGTAGATCGTGATCTACCAGTAGCTATCAAAGCTGATGCTGGTAGATAACGAAGGGTGTGACTGGTGGCCCCTTTATTCCATGTTGGTATATTTATTTAGCTGTGCACACATGATTATCTATTAGCCTGAGTCTGCTGAGCTAAGCTCCCTGACACATTTCTGGTGGATACTGGTGGTTGAAGTGCTATGTATTACATCAAAGAATATTAGTTTACACAGCCTGTTGCAAAATACAGCAAGGTGAGCCAGGAGAGAGAGCGGGGAGAGACAGACAAAAGAGGGAAATGCAGCCAGGGGAGAGAGAGCGAGAAGAGACAGCCAGGAAAGAGAGAGAGGAGAGACAGCCAGAAAAGTGAGAGCAAGGAGAGACAGCCAAGAGAGCAAAGAGAGACAGCCAGGAGAAAAAACGAGGAATGACAGGTAGGAGAGAGAGTGAGGAAAGACAGCCAGGAGGATGAGCAAAGAGAGACAGCCAGGAGAGCGAGCAGAGACAGCCAGGAGATAGAGAGCAAGGGAGTTTTTTTTTCGTTGGTAGATCTCATGTAGCTCGTCATTTGAAAAGTAGATCTTAACACAAAAAGTGTGGGCACCCCTGTCCTAGATTGTTCACTTCTCCTGCCTTCTCTGAACTCTTCATCCTTTTGTGAATAACCCTGTAAATATTTTATTGTTTATATTTTACAAGTGACATAGGTGTATGTAAGCTAACTTGTAAAATGTTATTATTTTTAGTAAGTAGTAGTCAAATTTACAAAAACATCAGTAATATTTGAATAATGATGTCACTTCTGTCATGTAAATCATTTTAGAAGTTTGCTATGGTGGAATTAATAACTGTAAGTAAAAATATGGATATGATGGTTTCTTCATACAAGAAACAATACAAGACGTGTGCTTGTATGCTAAAATGTGCAGACAACCACTCAGATTTGTTATTTCATTTTCCCATAGAATGAAAGATTTGATTGCTGTGGCGACAGATCCACACCTGTCTTATTTGAATTTCATCTTTTCATACATTTTCCCTAAGACTTTTAACAATAGGTTTCCATTTGTTTACTAAATCTATATCTTGACTATATCTCTATAGCTAAAGCTATATAATGTATGTATGTAGAAAATTGGACACAAAAATCCAGTTGAAGCAATATATTATATGTGTATGCAGTCAGGCTTCATAACAAGTAAAAAAAATTAGCATTTTTTTAAAATGTGTTAAAAGTGCTGTACTACTACATCAAGCTGCCCCGTGCCAGTAGCACACTGTAGACCTTGCCTGCTGTTATTACACAGAGCAGTAATCCAGATCTCTGCTCAGTCCTCCAACCAACCACACTACTCGGGTTGTTGTATGAGCACTGTGTGGGGGGAATGTCAGACCAATGAAGATATGGACTACTGCACTCTGTGTAAGAGCAGCGGTCTGGATCTTCAACGTGCTGCTGACAAAGGACAGCTTTTTTTAGACATAAACACTTTTAACAAAAAACACATGTACATTATTTTTTGTTATGCAACTTGACTGCTTAAAGGAGAACTATGGGGTCAGTGGTTTTCCCCATAATTCTCCTAAAGGTAACGGGAGGACTGAGATGAGTATACTGAGTATACTGAGATGCCGCAGCCGGGACGGATCCCGACAATACTGTCTGGATCCACTCAGCTGCGTGAGAGGCAGAGCTAGCTGTCAATCTAGAGGCAGAGCCAGCTGTACCCTCCCCCTCCCTTGCCCTACTTGCTGCTGTGGAAGGATCACACAGCAAAAATGTAAAAAGTGTGTCAGTCATTTAGGAACAGAAACTAAAAACTAGCTCAGTCATGAAGGGGTTAATAATAAAAAAATACAATTGGCTTTAATTGGCCTTTTATCTTGTACAGTAACAGTGAAGGATATGCCAATGCGTGAGGCATTGCTAATTTACAACTACATCACTACTCACCATTTATACACAGGTTATTTAGGAGAATATCTTTATCTCATGCTACACTTTCTACACAGTATTCACAACATGAAACTTAATGGCCCATACACGGGAAGATCTGGCCAATGCTTAAACTTGTTAACTTTTGGGGCACCTGGTTTGCAATACATTTAGTCATGCATGGTAATGGCCAAATCTGAAAGATATGGCTATTTATCCTAGGTGCAATAAAAGTTGTCAGGTGCCAATAAAACTACTTCCATCTTGGTTCCTCAATATCTAACTGAGTATATATTGATGTAAAAGGGGCAGTGTTCAATGCATCAGCCAGACATCAGCAGAGTTGGTCTAAACACAAAAGTGATGACCTTATGGATAGTACTACGCAGGCTGCTGGGAATCACATGCATGTTGCCTGGAAATAATTAGGCTTGCCAGCTTAAATCTGATTGTTACATTTTCCCCCACCATGTAATTTGTTAATGCTTTGTTACTTTAATTTGTCGTGTTATTTTAAAGATTTGTTCAAATGTTAACGTAGCAATTTAAATCTATGGTTGAATATTTCACAGTTTACAAAAAAAATGTAGACAGCCAAAATAAAAACTAAATTAGCATCAGGTAGCCCTGGGCTGCCCTGTAAACAGAAAATAATTACATTGTCAATCCAACAACTTTTCCTTTGCCCTGCATGGTCTGCATGTATGTTTGACATCAACCCCCACTACTGCTTCCATAAGTAGTGCATGGCTGCCTCTATAAGCCGTAGACAAGTTGGTGGAGTCTGTTTCTGGCTGGCCATCATACTTCTTGTATTCCTGAAGCAGTCCCTACCCACGTGTCTGCAGGACTCAGAGCTGCAAGGCAACAGTGCTAACCACTTAGCCCAGGGGTTGCCAAACTTTAGCCCCCTAAATGTGGGGAAACTACAAAGTTCATCATGATCTTCCTTTGGAAACCATGCCTGTAGCTGTCAGAGCCTACAATGCATACTGGAATGTGTAGTTTTACCACAGTTTGAGGGCTGAAGTTTGGCTTCTCCTGACTTGGTCTGAAAAAGAGTTTCAACTTTACTCTGATTTAATTTGCAGCATGCTTATTCTGGGAAAGTGGTTTAAAAAGTGTTGAAAACAGAGTCATCCAGGAAACGCAATTTCGGAAAGAAGTCATCAGTAGTAGCCCCCATAATTGTATTGGCACAGACTTCTTTCAAGTACAAAATATTTTATCAGCTGTTTCAGATTCCGAGAGGTCTTCCATGCGCTTGTAGATGTTTAAATGTAATGTAAGTGTGCATGTGATGGGCTTAGGCTACATTACTAAGATGATCAGCAAGTGGAAAAACAACAAGTGCAATTAAAAGAAAAATGTTTATTTAACCATTGAATGGGTGATGATGTCATATCAGCATGCAGAGCTACATGCTGATGGAATTTTTAGTGAAAGGGGTTAAAGGCCCACTTTAAGACATAGAAGGCATATATAGACATCATAGTATGGTATACTGAATGTATAGTGATATTACCTGGTTACTATACCTTTCTATGTAGAAATTCTGTGCTGATTGCTATTTTTATCTAACTTAGAAGTGGTGATACTGTTTGATAAACATGTGCTTATGGAATTGATGTCACTAACAATGGAAGCATAATAATTAACCTATGTGCTTGTGCACCACGCTTTTCCATTCTCTAGGTGAATGTCCTTTGCCACATAATGCCACTCCTGTTAGTCAGTTACCTTCTCTCCGGACAGATCACCATCATTACCCCACCATTGATGAGCCGCTGCCACCAAGTAAGGCCTTGCCTGTAATAAAACAAAAATATAATACATATGCATGAAAGAGTTTATTTTATCTGTATTGGTATCTTTTCCTTGCCATGTGTTTTGTCATTCCATGAACAAGTCTTTGTTTTGTCACTGTTGGCAATTGTTGCCTCCTCTAATTCTGTGTTACAAAACTTAGACTGGGAGGCTCGTATTGATAGCCATGGAAGAGTATTCTATGTGGACCATGTGAATCGCACCACAACATGGCAGAGACCTACAACAGCTGCAACACCAGATGGAATAAGTAGATCTGGGTCCATCCAGCAAATGGAGCAATTAAACCGAAGGTACCTGTAGCAATTTAAAATGTTATTAAAGGAACATCTGAATAATAATATTAATAGCTAGATACATCTCTGATCAAAAAATCTGAACTATAATGCATAAATGGAATTCAGAATGATAAATATACACAGACTAGTTTCATTGCAGGGAAGAATAATTATCTGGTAGGCCTATAAATAAAAGTAGCAATACACCAGGATCATATTGGTTGGTGAATGAAGGTTAAATACATGTGTGTGGTTTGACAAAAATGAACAAATCAAAATTCAGATTTTAACAATTTTCAAGCGATTAATCTTATTTACTAACATGGTACAATGGAAGTGGTATACAGTAACTCTTAGCAACCAGTCAGCATTCAACATGCTGATTTTGATTGCCTTCTGCTAATTATTATTCCTTGCAATGAAACTAAATTAGTTTGTGTATATTTATTATTTTGAATTCACATTTATGCATTGAGCAAATGAGTAAAACTAAAGATTATCCTTATGGTCAAGCAAGCATGTATAGATGCTTTGATGTGTATCATTTTAGTTTCTTATGTAATATAAGGGTGAACAACTGCCCTGCTGTACCCTTCCTTCCTCCTTGATAGCCCTGATAGCACTTAAGAAGGGTGGCCACAGGAAACACTCCACCATTCCTCCACACCTGTATAAGAAAATTAAGATGGTACAGCAGGTAGGGGAGTTGATTTACTAAAGGCAAGTTGACTTTACTTTGCAAGGGAATTTTCACTTTGAGAGGAAAATGTTCCTTAGAATAGTAGACGGGGTGCAACTAAGTGAAAATTCCCTCTGCTGATGGACCTGATGGGGAACTGCAGCAGAGGACGGGTACAATGCTAGTTTACTATTGGCTATTGCAAATTGAAATAGCCAATAGTAATGTCCCAATGCTTTTCAATAGGAATTTTTTTTTTTTTCTATTCTGACATCGCTCGTGTCAGAATAAAGAAAAAAAAGACACAGCAGTGTTTCTCTCCTTGGCGGCCGGGAGCAGGAGACTCCCGGGGCGCCAGGGAGAGTTAGCTGTTTGGAGATCAGTGTCCCTGGTTAGCAGGTAACCAGGGACGCTGATCTCTCTGAAAGTGGCCAGAGCCAGCCGTAAGATCATGGCTGGCTCCTCCCAGCTGTCAGAAGCAGGCTGTCGGACGGCCACTGGCCGGCCGCTCGGCCAGCTTCGGCTTTCAGCACGGCTCAGCCGAGCCGATGCATATGCGTTCGGCTCGACTGAGCCGCTCGGCCATGATCGGGAGCTGTACGGGCTATTGTGAATAGCCCGTACAGCACCCCTTCGGTTCTACTGGCCAGATCCTTTGGCAGCTTCTTGAATAGACCCCTAAGTAATAGATAGACCCCTAAGTAATAGAGAAGGTAATGAAAGGTAACGGAACAAAAAGGAAACAAAAATTCTGGACATTTTCGTTGACAAACAAAAACGAAACGAAAATTCTGGGAATGACTATTGCACTTCTGATTGCCTGAGCTCTTCCTCTTCCTGTAGTATGGAAATGTGCACAACTAAATAACCTACTGATCTACCCAGCGGGACATCAGGTAGCCAATACTTGCTGCACAAACTGTACAGACATGTGAACATCAGGGAGAAAGAGAAGAGCAGATGAATGCATGCATTTTACTTTTGATGCTAATGAGAACAAGACCCTTTGTAAACCATGCGGAGCAACAATCGTAAGTCATAACAGGTTAATAGAGGTTTACTCCAGGAATATATAATGAGTTTGGAAATTCTAGAGACTTGCTTAAATAATGCATTACACTTTAAATAAACCCATTACATTTAGTTGACTAAATCTACAGGAGATTTAGTTGACTCAAATTAGACTAAAACTAAAACTATTCAGATTACTAAAATACAACTAAAACTAAAAAGACATTTTAGTCAAAAGACTAAAACTAAATTTAAATTTGCCATCAAAGTTAACATTGCATAATGCCTTTGTAACATACTGTTTTCATTTTTACATTAAGGTATCAAAATATACAGAGGACTATTGCAACCGAGAGGCCGGAGGAAGAAGCTGATGGAAGAAATGATAGAATTCCTGGGATTGGGGATTCTGAAACTGACTTGTCACAACCAAATTCAGGTATTTTTTTATACTATAGTATGGATTAGTAATGCGTCTGTATTACTGCAGTGGGATTAATGCAAGGAAAATTAATAAATATTTTCGTTTTAAAGATAATGTAGATGATGGACCTAATGGAATAATTCCAGAAAATGTGGTCATCATGACAGAAATATACCATTATATAACCATTCCCTTAATCAGAGTAATGTATATCCTGTTGTGCGAAGTTAGTCAGTATGTGGATGATAGCACTACTCTATTGGATGCTGATTTGTCTTCTACTGCTGACCCTTTTCTAGCCCCCCCCCCCCCCCTTTCACTTTATATCCCCTCTTTTTTTTTGTGTCCAGCTGTGTGCTATGTGATACAATTGCTGTAAAAGGAAAAAAGCTAATACAACTTAAAACTGACCTTGCAGTAAAATGCAAGGTCCACGTACAGTGTCATGGCCTCCCCCTCCTTCCTCAAAATCATCTAATGTTATTACAAAATGTAACATTTATACTTACCCTACCCCCATCTTCCATCAATGATGCCTAGGCAAAGATGATGTCACATTCTTTATGACCAGATCCTGGGAAATAAGGAGCAAATCTCATGAGAAGACATTCTTGTTACGCACTAGAGTGTATCCTCAAGAGTTGTAATCTGCTCTGCATTCCCCAGGAATCTTCCTGGAAGGACAGTGACATCGCGCCTGGCGATGCTGATGATGGAAGTAGGGTAAGTATAAATCTTTTAAAATGTTATAAAATAAAACGTTTTCCTTTACATACTCTAACAAGTAGTAAAAGCACTTTACCACAACCCATCTCTGGCCTCACTGCTGTTTAAAAGTCTCTGTTTACACTTACATTTTTCTAGCATTTTTTTTGTAAGTTTTTCATGCATCTTAATGTGTTTTTCATGCATAATGCATTTTTGTTTTCATCATGAAAGTGAAATAAAAAACAGGCTGCTATGGAAATGCATGGAAAACACATGTAACGTGCATGGAAATGCATGTTACGTGTGTTTTTCATGTGCCCTTTGAAGTCTAAAAACGTATTGTGTAGCACCAAAAGAAGCACCTGCACCTTTAACAAATCACACTGCATGATGTTGCATAGGTGGGAACGGGCACCATGGAGAATAATTACATTTCCATTGTCATGCATTATAGCATGGTTGAAGAGGAGCAACATATCGCACATTTGACCAGAAGAAAAAAATGGCCTTAAACAAAATTTTAAATACACTGTCTGGCCAAAAAAAAGCCACACTTTCTAATATTTTGTTGGGCCACTATTAGCTTTGGTTACGGCATGCATTCGCGGTGGCATAGTTTCAATAAGCCTCGACTGCACTGAATTTAAAAAGTCTCACTAGAGTTTAGAGGCTGTAATAAAAAAAGAGATATGAGGAATCTTACTCTAAGAGCATTTAGCAGCTCTGCATCATATTCCTACAGTGTAAGATATATAGGGACCTTGAAGGTGACACTAAGCTCAGGAGTTAAACCTTAAAAAATGCATTCAAGTACCTTAGCTATTAACAAAAATGTAGCTGATTGGTGTATCACTCAGCTGTAGATCCTCAAATCATCTCTGAATTCATGCTGATACTGTCCTTCCTTCTGGACATTTGTTCCCCATTGTCCCTGTGTGTGTTGTAAAGTAGCCACCGATCCAATCTCGCTCTCATGATGGACTGCAGTCTTAATACAAAATAGTTAATGAAACCTGAAATTGTAGTCTATCACCAGAGCAAGCTTGGAGTGGTGACTACTTTACAACACACACGGACCATGGGGAACAAACGTAGCCACCCTCCAGAAGGAAGGACAGTGTCGGCACCAATTCAGAGATGATTTGAGGATCTACAGCTGAGTGATACACAAATAAGATACATTTTTGTTAATAGCTAAGGTACTTGAATGCATTTTAAGATTTAACTCCTGAGTTTAGTGTCACTTTAAAGTTGGGTATACTTGATTAGAATATTGTACAGACGTTCATACGAAAAATCTTATCAGAATATTTGATAATGCAATCAGAGACCTAAGAAAGTCATTCAAAATTTTGTTTGATTTTAACATTCAATTTTGGAAATTAATAGAACTTTCTAAAACAAAAACCACATTCACTGTTAGAATATCGTTCATTTGTTCAAGAAGTCTAAATCAATTGTTAATTTAAACCCATTAACTATAAGAATGAATGTTCTGAAAATTATTATTTTATTAAATTAAATTCTAACCATGCATGCCCACCTTAAGTCAGATTAGGAATTCTGCGTTATAACGATAATTCATTTAAATTGATTATTTTTGACAAGTAGTGTTTTTACATGATTATGATGCAAGTGTCAAAAGAACACGTACAGTATGCTCCAAGCATTGTGTTACTACATATAAATAAAAGAGGACTCAAGGAAATCTGTAGTTCACATTTCTAAACTTGTGGAAATTTGATAATATGTACAAAACAACATTAACCTTTTAACATTGATCTTTTGGGTTGAAAATCTCCTGTTGACACAGACACCTAGAGATGAAAGCCTGGACAAGTTTTTTCTTCTGCTTTTACTGGCACTCAGAAAGAGGTGGCCACCTGCTTGATTTATTGAACAGCAAAAACTGTTCACATCTATATTAAAGTCTTCATAAGGATACTTGACGGGCCCCTTGTGAAACAGAGATCAAATGGGTTTTTTGTTTCTGTAACGCTTGATGGCATGGTCATACCTCTAACAGCGGGTCATTGTGCTTTCTCTTTTACAGAGCTAAGAAGAGATGCAACGTTAACACCTATAAATTCCCAGAAAATTACCTTATTATTGCAGTCCCCAGCTGTCAAGTTTATAACACACCCTGAATTTTTTACCGTGCTGCATGCAAACTATGTAAGTAAAAAGTAAGGCTTTATGTCAATTGAATCTTCTGGAAACAATATAGAACTTTAAGATTTTTACAAGTACATTTTCTGCTTAGTTTCCTGATCATCTGGCTAATTTGGGAGATAGAGGGGCCCACTTGAGATAATGTTATTGCATATTGGGAAAGCTCTCCATATCTACAGAACTAGTTTAACTAGAGCAGCAGCAATTCAAAGAAACATTTTAAGACAACTGGCTGAAGTTCACTACATCACATTAGAAACATTATTTAATAGTAGTTAAGGGTACAATGAGCTTGAGGGTTGAGAAACTCATCAGTACTGTTCCCCGAATCAATGTGTAGGATGCTATGATAACAGGCCCCTATGAAGTGGGTTTGTAATGCCCTGAGCTCACATTGTCATGCAATCCAGAACTGGACTAGACCACAGAGCAATGAGTCTTTGTGTGACATTGCTGGGGAATTGGTTGCAATGAGAGCTACTATTTGTATTATTATATTTTGTAAGGAAAAAAAAATGAAATTAGGCTCAACATAGGCTAATGTAATTTGTGTATACTCTCTAAATAAATATAGTTATTTTCACCTCCCCATGACACTAATGCATTTTGCAAAAATGGCAACATTTCACCAAAACTAATTTTTTATGAAATTTCAGAAAAATTCTAACTCACAAGTTCACTCATCCCTAGTCACAAGATAAAGCCATTGATATGTAAACATGGATTTTGTTACTTCTTTTATGTTTTACCTTTTATGTTCTTTACCTGTTTGGCAGTAAAATAATCCATGGTCATCTGATAATCTGGTGTGAGTAGGGATGTCCCGATGCCACTTTTTCAGGCCCAAGTACAAGTACATCCCCTCATGTACTTGCCGATACCAATTACCGATACTTTTTCTTAAAGGGACAGGTCACTTTAAATGATCCATAGTACAACTACATGTTATGTGGGGCATTTTGACAAGTTCAAGTACTTGTCAAAATGCCCTGTATCGGGCCCGATTCCGATGCTAGCATCGGTATCGGGACATCCCTAGGTGTGAGCATGAGGGGGCATGATCTTTCATTCAGGAAGTATCTCTTTACAACTGTATTCACTCTCCAGGCAGACTGTGTGATAAATTCAGGTTAATGAAGGTTTGCTTTTAAGATTCACCATCTCCATATTTGTCTCACGATTAGAGTGCCTACAGAGTCTTCACTAACAGCACCTGCTTGAAGCACATGGTTCTGAAAATCCGCAGGGATGCCAGGAATTTTGAACGCTATCAGCACAATAGGGACCTGGTGAACTTTATTAATATGTTTGCTGACACAAGGCTTGAGCTGCCGCGTGGCTGGGAGATTAAAACAGACCAACAAGGAAAGGTAAGTCTTGATGTATGTAAGAAATGTAAAAGTTATTGACATGTTATGATATTATTTTAAAGCTGAACTCCAGGCAAATGTAAAAACAACAGTTAATGCAGTTATGAAATCAGTATTATTATATTTAGTTTTTAATGCAGCTATTGTAAATACCTGAATTCATCTTCATTCATTTTATCTTCTTCTGCCTCCTGTAATCCCCTGTTACAGGAGCACTGAGAGAGGGATGGTCAGCATTAGTTTGCTACAGTGTACACTTGATTACAGTGAACATGCTGACAGGAGGTGAGAGTAGAATGAGCTGGGGGATTACTTTATCAGTCTTGCTGTGCATCAACCCAGCTGTGCATCCAGTGGATATTGAGGACCCCTCTGACAACCTGGAAAGGATGTCTGAATCACGGACTGGATGCACAAAATTTCAAATACTTTACATATACAAAGCTGTGATTGCTTAGAGTTCAGCTGTAAACTTGCCATGACAACAAGGATGTAGGGAGCTATAAAGACTAGTTCCCTTTATTTATGCAGCATTTCTCTTCCATCGATATCCCTTTATCTATCTCTTTTGTATTCTAGAAAGCTGTTAAATAATATTCCAGACCAAACTTCCACCTGGTGAGAGCGTGTGTATTGTATTTACATATCATCTGACCTAGGATGGTGATCAAAGGGGATTCTAGTGGTGTGCAAGTAGATATCTTAATGCCCTTCCTTAGTACGATTTCTACCTATCCATTGGCAACCCTATGAGGGACTCTATCAGCACAACTTCATTGTATTTTTTCACAGAATTGCATTGTTTTGCTTTTCAAATTGATCATTTTGTCTTAAAGAGATACAGGTAGAGATGCAATGCTGCAAGCAGAGGGGACATTTGATATAATAACAAAGTAACACATCTTCATGGTCATGTTTAAGAGCCACACAGACTGGTTCCTAATGTTCTCTCCAGGACTTGAGGCTGAGCATGGTCATCATGTGTACATTGTGATTGGAAACATACAGTATGTTAGTGCAGCACACTTTCCCTGTATTAAACTGATCAGAATAATTGGTTAATCAAGATGGTTGTGGTCGGTGACCACACTGTTACTCTTAGCTGTAGGGTAGCAGAAATGCTAAAGATTGTTGTCATGAAGAGATCAAAGATAGTAGTATTATGCTATGTGATAAAACTGTAGCAGATAAAGCAAAAGCATTTACTGCAAGTCACTTTGATGTAATCTGTTTTTTCCAGTCTTTCTTTGTAGATCATAACAGTCGAGCAACAACATTCATTGATCCACGGATCCCTCTTCAAAATGGCCGCCTACCAAATCACCTGACACACAGACAGCATCTTCAGCGACTTCGAAGCTATAGCGCTGGGGAGGTATGATTACGTCTTTGTGAAGAAATAAAACCTGATAAGGGAAAAATTACATAGGAGTTTATTCACAAAGCTGCTGAAGGATCTAGCCGTAGCTTCGGCTGATCCTTCGGCTAGCTTCGGCCCCTGCACCCCTTCGGTTCAGTAGAGCCGAACCGAAGGGGTCCAGAAAATAAAGGAAAAATCAGTGGGCTGTGCTTAAAATTGCAGCCAATTGATGGAAAAAAGTCCCATTGATAAAATTCTAAATCATGTTAAAGGCAACATTCTCTACACTTTAAGTAAATCAAACCCATTTAGTTTGGGTGGTGCCAAATGATTTAGCACAGATTGCAACTGTGTTACCTTTAGTATCTGCAAAATGAACCAACAGTAGACACTACAGTTTTTCTGCATATTTAAATATCCTGCTCAGTGCAACTGTTATACTTCTTTCTAATAGGCTTCAGAAGTGTCAAGAAACAGAGGGGCTTCTCTGCTAGCCCGGCCGGGAAATGGTTTGGTATCAGCAATCAGAAGCCAACATCCACAGGAAACAGTACCATTAGGTAAGCTGGTCCTATAGCTTATGTATGAAAACTAGGGCAACAAAAGAACTAAAGTATCTTTTTGTAAATGCAAATGTTATAAAAATTGTGCAATAATGCATACTTGAAAATCTGTGTTACCGATTGCATTATCCATATGCCATTTAATTTGTTCATCAGCATTAGTAATGGGTGATGAAGAGGAGGTACCATCTGAGTTAAGTGATATAATCATTCCATTACAGGAAGTTCTCTGTAGGAACTATAATTTTTATTTTTTGCCGGGCATGTAATAGGGTGGTTATATCCTTCCCTAATCCTACCTGTCTCCTGATTTTTTTCAGCCGTTTGTTACCTGTTTTAAGAAATGTAGCTGTCAACAATTGAGAAGGGAAAGCAATGTACAGGACTTAGGATTCACATTTATCTGTGGAGAGATGGTCTCTGCCTTATGCACATGTAGGAGCATAATGACACACTAAGACTGGTGATACACACTAGATTTTCTGCAGGGCTGAACGAGAGAGCTCAATAGATTCCCCCCATTCGTGCTAAACAGCATGGATGGGGGAATCTCCGTTGTCAGCTAATGTTTTTTAGACAGCCACAGCCCCAGCATCTGTCCAAATACCCAAACAATGACTGTATCTGATCTGCATCCCACCGGCAGCATGCGCTACCTTTGCTTCCACATTTCTCTGGTTCATCCACTGGGAGAAAAGATATGTGACTCACTCCCCCTACTTCAAAGTGACAGCACTAGTGCTTGGGGCAGAGAGAGTGTCCCCTGTGTAAGCTCTGACTAGAATGTGTAAGCTCCGATGTTTGCACAAGGTTTCCTGTCTTTGCAGTAGTAAATATGTGCAGCTGGTAGTGCTGGCATTAAAGAGAACCTGTTACTTTGTCCTGCATGGGCACAACATGGGTTCCCTCTAAAGGGTAAGGAAATATTCACAAAAAGTTTCCTTACCCTTTTTGCCCTCTAAGTGGGACATTTTGTGTGACAGTTGCTTTACCCTTTAAATTACTCACTGTGGCCAACACTTTTTTTTCTACCAAAAATTAATTGATAAAAAACTAGTTAAATAAAATTATTTTTATATATATATATAT